TAAACCACATTTATTGTTTGAATTCTGAGAGTTTGACAGAAGGATTTGAAAGGTGAGGCTTTGTTTTACATCAAAAGTAACAAAAGGCAAAGCTCATTGCAACTAGTGGATGGATGGCAGGCATGCTACAAATGATGCTTAGTGAAGTGTTCATATATCAGCAGAAAACAGCACTGACTAAAACATCGATCTTGAGATTTAAGAATCAATGTTGGTTCATCAAAATGAGAATCGATTTAATTCAAGAAATCAATATTGTTAACCCAGGCCTAGAAATTACTCTAGTAAAATGACCAACAACAGTTCACTCTTTGTACATTTCATTTGGGGGCGTTTAGCAAATCGAATGACTAGTTTTTCTTCAGAAGCTCTCATTGTAGCTACTTTGGAAACACAACTTTGTTTTGCGGCAGACCAAAATAAGACCATCTGATTAGACAACATTGAGAAAGCTCCTGACTTTTTTTTTTTTTTTTTTTAAGCAAAGTCACACTAACAACCTGTGTAGTTAAAAACATTGTCATCATGACAGCCTGAATTTCTAACACTGTTTGCCTGTTGTAATCTTTAAATCCTTTTGGCCCGGTATCTCCCTCTAATCTCTCCAGAATGTTTATCTAGCTGATGTGGTGAAGTATCTGAGCAAGTTGAAACAATAGATGGCTTAAGCTCAAGGTCTTGTTTTATTTTCCTCTTTCAGATGTGCAGCCAGTGGAGTATGAGGAGCCCAGTCACTGGTGCTCTATTGTGTACTATGAGCTGAATAATCGTGTGGGAGAGGCTTACCACGCTTCCTCCACCAGTGTGCTGGTTGATGGATTCACTGACCCATCCAACAACAAGAACCGCTTCTGCCTGGGCCTGCTCTCGAACGTCAATCGCAACTCCACTATTGAAAACACTCGCCGCCACATTGGCAAAGGTATGCATGCAGTTATTATCCACAAAGATCTTGTACATTGTAACGGTGCTTTATTTCACTCAGCCCTGGAAACCCAGTGGGAGGTGACTTTAACCTTCAGCAAAACAGCGTTGTTATCAGTAACTAAAACTATTAAAAACATTTTTGTTGAATGAAATAAAGCTAAATATTAGGTGAAAAACTTCATAAAACATTAGAAATGTTGCCTTGTCAGCTAACTGAAGCTGACTAATTGAAATAATTAAAACAAAAAAATATAGAAATATAAAAAATGACCAAAGCACATAAAATTACAAAAAAGTTTGTGAAGTTTAAGTGAAACCTAAAAATATAAAAATAAAAGCTAATTTGGAATATGAATAAAAACTGTAATAGTATAATAATACTAAAATAACACCGTACCAAAGGTTTGTCAGCATGACATATAATGACAGCCTTTCACACCAAATAAGATAACAATAAAGATAACTATATGGCATTCTCACCATCTAATGGTTTATTATAAGTATGTGCTGTAGTTTTGTTTTAAATGCTCGAGATCTTTAAATTCGGGTAGATCTGATTGGCAGTGTTTTTAGCGTTCAGCTGGATAAAAATTGTTTTGAAAGTGATTTGAATGAAATTGTTACTCTTGTTATAGCTGTGGTGTGGACTTCCCTATTCTCATAAAATTAGATTGATTATTACTTTTTATAATTATCATCATAGTTACTGTCCTTGGTGTGCATGGCCCTTTAAAAGCAATACTTTTTTTTCATACATAACAATGAAGACAATTGTGTTAATATTACAGTGATAACAATGAATCATCTCCACACCTAAAAAGTTAAATAAAAGTTCTCAAAGCAAACGTGTTCAATTACAATGGTTGCACTATATTATGATTCACTATTGAAATAAAACACAGGAAGACCTACAAGATGTCTTTTTCTAATCTTCCACAGAATGTGCAGCTGTTTATTGAGCCAGATATTCATTATTTTGCGTTTTACTCTATAGAATATTTCAGAAGTCCATTTATGATGATCTCTTCTCCCTCAGGTGTCCACCTGTATTACGTTGGAGGAGAAGTGTATGCAGAGTGTCTGAGTGACACCAGCATTTTCGTCCAGAGTCGAAACTGCAACTTCCATCATGGCTTCCACCCCACAACTGTCTGCAAAATCCCCAGCGGCTGCAGCCTCAAGATCTTCAACAACCAAGAATTCGCTCAGCTGCTCGCTCAGTCTGTCAACCACGGATTCGAGGCCGTCTACGAGCTCACCAAGATGTGCACCATCCGCATGAGCTTTGTAAAGGTATGAGTATCACCACCACTGAGAAGTTTTCAGATGGTTATTCACCTTTAACAGTTCAGGGAGTAAAAACTTAGTAGAAGATCTATCCTTGTGTAACTTTATACCTTAACTTTATACCTTTTTCTTTTTTTTTTTTTTTAGGGCTGGGGTGCAGAGTATCACAGACAAGATGTGACGAGCACACCTTGCTGGATAGAAGTGCATCTTCACGGTCCCCTCCAATGGCTGGATAAAGTCCTAACACAAATGGGTTCTCCTCTGAACCCCATCTCGTCCGTCTCATAATGATGGGCCCTGCTGGGCTGGGAGGATCTTTTCTGAGCTTTTTTTTTTTTTTTTGGTGGTTTTACTTCACTTTTGAAAGAAAAGGAGATATTAAGGGCTGAACTGTTTACACTACCTGCAGAAGGGTGACCGGATCCTGCGGCAGTCAGAACGAGAAGAATGAACTGGGGCTACAAGCACATCTAGCTGAGGAAAATTCTAGGCAGTGACACAAAATGGACTAACTACTGCTTTAGCAATTGCCTTCCTGTTTGTTTGTTTGTTTTTTTGCAATTGTTTTAAAATGATGCTTGTATGACTGATTTTCTCTAACTGTAGGTAATCTAGTAGATGAAATTGACATGCTTTCATGTATCTCTACTTCACTTTACACCAGTTGAAAATGGCAATTTCCTAGTTCTATGAGAATCTTTTTAATTGCTATGTTGTCTAATCCCTGTTATTCACAAGGCATATTTTCCTTTATATGTTTACTGTTAGACTCAAATCTCATTACAAATGTTTCCTTTTTATAGCATCTGTTGCCTTAAGGCAAATCAAAGTTACTGCTTTTAAATAAAGTTCTTTTATCTGATAAATTTGTGCTCGTTTGATATGTTTTTGTGATTACAAATGAAAGCTGTTGCTCTCTTGGAGTACATGTGAGCATTATGGACTGAGACTTGTAATTTTTAAATCCACAGCGGTTGGCTAGCACAATATGTCCTTGCAAGTGTCTGTGTTCTCCAGCACAGAAAACACAGAAGTGCGTAGATTTCATTAGTGTTGCATGATCGTACTTGTTTTATACAAACAGATTTCTGCAAGTGGAATCAGTGCTCATGGAGACTAAACTGGACCATGATGTCTGTTATTTGCCTCCCTCTACTGGACAAGACATGGCATATTTTTAGTACTAGTACCAGTTCCTGTCAAAAAAAAACCTTACCTGTGAATAGTTTTGTACATTTTTACACCAAGGTGGTAGAAAATGTTGCTGTTCACATCAAAACGATATGCTTTCTAGGATATAAAACAGGAGTGTAGACCACATTAAAGTCATTCTTTTAGGATGGAATAGAATAGAATAGAATCTGCCTGCTGTGTATCTGTGTTTGTTCACAATCATAGAGCAATCAGACCAAAATGCTTTCTAAATACAGAAGTTTAAACGTTTAGACATCACCAGTGTGAATTTGAGGAGTGTTACAGTTTATCCACAACAACTAAGCATTAAAAACGCAATAACGCCCGGATGGACTGGGTCGTTTTATTAATGTATTTACTTTTCAATCAAAAAAATAAAACACAAAATGAAAAAAAAATCAATTATATTGATTGAGCAAGCAATAGCACTCGGACAGTGTGTCTACAATGATTATTTCTTGAAGTTATCTATCTATATTGTGATATTGATATTTTAATCAATTATATTGATTGAGCAAGCAATAGCACTCGGACAGTGTGTCTACAATTATTATTTCTTGAAGTTATCTATCTATATTGTGATATTGATATTTTTTGTACGTTTTGTGGCTTCGTTTATTTTGGAGTTGTCCTTATTCGGGTTGTTTTTGGACAGACTTTTATTCATTTATTAAAGATTACATCATGCCCAGCTTTCAACTGTATTTTGAGAATCTTTATTCGTTTTTTCCACTTATGTCTTGCGATTAATCGCATCCAAATTCAAAGTTTTTGCTAATGTGTGTATATTTATTATGTATATATAGATACACAAACACACATGTACATATTATACAAATATTTACATATATATATATATATACACACAAAACGCATTTTTCTTAAATATATACCTGCATGTGTGTGTATTTATATATACATAATAAATATAGGCCTACACAGTACACATATATTATATAAACAAAAACTTTTATTTTGGAAGCGATTAATCGCGATTAATAATTTGACAGCTCTAGATAAATTACTGTAAATTTGAGCCTTTTTTAAAGGCAAAAATTCAACGATACCAACAAAAAAAAAAGTTATGTTGTTTAAAAAAATAAGAAAGATGTAAAATGTTAATTTTGTAATAAATTAATACTTCATTTTATTTTTACCCACTTATTTTTTGTTTGTTTATCGTAATGTCCCTGGCTGTGCGTATTAAAAGCCAATTTAAAAAATGGTTCTCTGAAACTAAAGAACCTGTCTAGCTGGATTGATTAATAATTTGACAGCTCTAGATAAATTCATGTAAATTTGAGCCTTTTTTAAAGGCAAAAATTCAACGATACCAAAAAAAAAAAAGTTAAGTTTAAAAAATAAGAAAGATGTAAAATGTTAATTTTGTAATAAATTAATACTTCATTTTATTTTTACCCACTTATTTTTTTGTTTGTTTATCGTAATGTCCCTGGCTGTGCGTATTAAAAGCCAATTTAAAAAATGGTTCTCTGAAACTAAAGAACCTGTCTAGCTGGATTGATGAAAGTGTCGTAAGCTTTTATTTTGAAACCGAAACTCTACTCGGTTCAGTCATCTCGAAGCTGCTGCGCTGTCTTCACTCACTGACCGCTCACCGGAAGTGAGGTGGCCTTTCTCGAGAGCAAGCCAAAAACAAACACGTAACCGTCAAGCGGCCGCGTCTACAAGAGATTGGAGGCGACACGATTGCTTCAGATGGACGGATAGACACAAGACGCGGTTATTAGATGCACAACTCAACATAGGCCACCTCTCTAAAGCAGAAACAGCGGATTCCTGCGGCTGAAGGTGAGACACTGCGGGTCAGGACTGCTTTAGCTAATGTTAGTCGGCCAGACTTGATGCATATCAGCATATGGTCGGGTTATTAAAACATGCTAGTTAGTGTTTATTATCTCCAAGTTATCGTAGATTAATTATTGTCTTTCGTAGCCTTCATATAACTGTTCAGCTAATTGGTGCAGCTTTCAAACAGAGTCTGTAGCCAAGCATTTAATATACAAACATAATACTATGTAATTTAAATAAAGCTTAGTTTAACTCATTTGTGCTCTTAGAATATGTATTATAGGTCTTGGTGCTTAATGCATATACATACTGTAATTTGGGCCCTTACTTTCACTTTAGTGTACTGGAAAGGTCTTTTTTCCAGACTAGCATTCCTTTTTTCTGCATCTGAATGGTGTTGTAATACTGATTACAGTATAATCAGTATTTGCCCTCATCTCAGTCCATTCTGATTTATTTGTTCTCTCTCCTCTGTAGTGCAAGATGGTGCGAGCCGCTCTTGCCACAGGCACCAGTTTGGTGCTGACTGGCGCAGTGGTTGCTCATGCCTACTTCATCAAGCACCAGTTCTACCCCACTGTGGTGTACCTCACTAAAAGCAGTCCTAGCATGGCAGTAAGTTGTTGTCGGTGTCAGATTCTTATGGAAAGGCACTGTAAACTCTGTGATTTGACTACTATTTCTTTGGCAGGTTTTATACATTCAGGCTTTCGTTTTGGTTTTCCTTTTGGGGAAATTAATGCGGAAGGTCTTTTTCGGGCAACTGAGAGCTGCTGAAATGGAGGTTCGTGTCTAAATTTGCAAAGTGTGCAAAAGAACGTTTTTCTTTTTGTCATTCTTATTTGTACATTGTTTGTGTTTTCAGCACCTGATTGAACGCTCCTGGTACGCGGTGACTGAGACCTGTTTAGCCTTTACAGTCTTCAGGGATGATTTCTCTCCTCGCTTTGTGGCCCTTTTCACTTTGCTGCTTTTCCTCAAGTGTTTCCACTGGCTGGCTGAAGACAGAGTGGACTTTGTGAGTGAAC